TTATGCACGATAGACCTTCTAATTAGCAGTTGACATAAATACAGTGGTACTTTGCATTGTAAGAATTTATATAAAAACAACGTGTATAGATATCTGACCCGACAATTAATTTTCAACTCGTTCAGTTTCTGGTAATAGGGCGTAACATGCTCTCTAAACGGTACATTACAAATAAATCTTATGCACGAATTCCCTTCCCTACATCAACGAGGTCTTACACATCATTCATCCTTGTGCCCTCCCCAAGCATGTTTTCACGTTGCAAAACAGTCGTGCGAGCCGTTTTGGGGGTGGAAAGTGGTATTTTACAATTTGTGGCAAAACCAAGGGCAAAACTATGAGTATTAATTTTAGGCAAAAATGTTTAACTCAAAACTTATCGAGAATAAAAAATAAACAACTTTTGAACCTGCATTATTTTCACATAACCTTTTTTTTGTTTTCTATTCTTATTTTAGCGAAAAAAAAGTCGTACGGGTTTGAAATTTGGAGATAACATAGCTTGTTTTATGATAAAAACGAGACACTTTTGACCCTGTAAAGTTGAGCGGTTTTCGGGATATTCACGATTTTCAAAAAAATCACCTCTTTTTCAAGGGAATGAAAAATCTATTTTCTTCATCGTACACAGCTGCGCGGGGTAGCAGTATTTTCGTAGACTTCTATTTTGATAAGCAAAAATAAAAAAAATATTATTCCAAATGTTTTAATTAAAACATCCTTATTATTTCCAGTTTCCACATTTTTACCGCAATAAAAGCAATTCGAATTCTTTTGCTTCCTGAACCATTTGATTTTCTTCACCGACTCTTCCTCCTGCGTGTTTTACAGCTGCTGCAATTGCACATGCCTGTTGAAAAATCTGCAATAGAAATATTAGTTTTATCGGCCAAACCAAGCAATGATTTGAGATACAGTGTGAGCAACAATGATTGAAGCGTGCGTCATCACCGCTTGTTCCTATTAATATCAAAACTACCTTCTTTGTATGGAGTTGTATACGAAAATGACGTTCAGCGCTGTCACAGTGACGTGCGTCTATTCGTATTTCGTATCTTGTATCAAATCAGCATATGCTATGAGCGGCACATTGCCAATTTAGCTGAAGCGGCACGCTTCAATCTTTGTTGCTCACTCTGTATAAAACCTTATCCTAGGTTCATGAGTTAATTTAGTTTTAAAAAAAGCTGTTTATCATGTCAAAAACCATGTATACCTGTTTTCCCCGTTTTTGGTGATTTTCTCAAAATTTTTCTATTGGAATATTTATTTTTGATCCTTACAAAAATTTTGCTATGCAGCGCAGCTCTGTATGATGAAAAAAAAAATAGATTTTTCATCATCCTGAAAAACGGTTCTTTTTTTCGAAAATCATGAAATCTCTGAAACGGCGTATTAATAGTTTGCACTGCAAAAGCAGTGTATTTTGTTTTATGTTGACGCAGTATACAGGGTGACAATTTGAAAACTTACCACCCCCCATATCTTAGTAAATAAACGAGATATTTAAAAAAATCAAAATTCGTTTCGGTAATTCGGAGGGGGAATCACAATGACATAGTTGGCGACGCACCCCCTCACACCCCCTGCGCCCCAGCCACCCCAACTTTTAAATCTTAAATAGTGACCCCCCCATGTGTGATACGTCGTTGGAAAGCTCTGAAAAAATGCTTTCCCGGCGAACATAGACGAACTAAGACAGAGAATAATTCAAGAATGTCGAAATATTGCAAAACCAACATTGGAAAGGTTCGACAAGAGTTTGAGAATAGATTATAACTGGCGATCAAAAATGAGTTGCTGTCGAGTCGGCTTTGGAAGTCCAAGTTAAATACGATTTTCCATGTTTATTTTTTGATTTGCACGATAATTACTAACCTAAATGTAATGCTATTTGGTATGGTTGGAAAGCATTTTTTCATAGCTTTCCAATGACGTATCACACATGGGGAGTCACTATTTAAGATTTAAAAGTTGGGGTGGCTAGGGCGCAGGGGGTGTGAGGGGGTGCGTCACCAACTATGTCATTGTGATTCCCCCTTCGACTTACCGAAACGGATTTTGATTTTTTTAAATATCTCGTTTATTTACTAAGATATGGGGGGTGGTAAGTTTTCAAATTGTCACCCTGTATAATGGAAATGAAAAGGTCTTTAAAGACTGGTCACAAACTCAGAGATTTCTTTCGAAAATATATAGAAGTTTACATAAGTTTCTCGACACCTTTATGATCCGGTTCCGAATTTACACAATTTTAGGGTTTCAAAAATGAGAGATGAGTATGAGAGTGTAGGTAACGCTCTATTATATCATATATGTTTTTCTTTACTTATCGGTATAGTGCGTAGGAAATTCCTTTCGAAATCTTTTTACTCTGATCGACTCCAACATTAGTGGCACAATAACGAACGTAAATTTCAATCTCGATAAACTATTGACTTCCTATATTGCAATTTTCACTGTATACTGAGTTTTGACGTAAGTTTTGAATGGACACTGTTGCATTACGGAGCCTCCGAAAGGTTTGCGGAATTCGCTGGTTTACACGATGGTTGCTAATACGAACAATGTCTTTATTTATATTGAAAGACGATATACGCTTATGACGTGTTTAAACTCGACATGAAAATACGAAATTATCGTTAATCCTTATGAAAAGACTGTTTCTATGAGCTAACGCGCGCAAATTTTACACGCTACATAGATCAAACAAATGGTCCTCAGGCTATAGCCTTGCATGTACTAAGGAAAAGAAGAAAAAGGGCTAAAGAAACGTACATCTCGACTTGATGTCATTCAAGCTCACTCATTCACTTCAAGACCAGTTGCTGGTATACCAAAAACTGAAGGTCATCAAAATTCCTTTTCAGTTTCGGCTATCATTGTGAACCTGCATCTCCTGGTCAAGGAACCTCCACTAGCGAACAATTGAAACAATTCAACTAAATTTTTAATTACAAATTTATGATGATTGATGAAGTTCATGTGGGTAGTTAAAAAACATCAGTAATGTCAAATGCGTGCAGCATGAGTGCCTTAAAGTAGTATTTTAAAGGTCGTTGGTGCTAAACTGGCTTTCAGTTCGTGCATAAAATCATAAACGTGTCGTTACATACCTGAGGCAAACAACTACACACGTGTCAAGAGGTTTCACAGATTAGATACATCTTAAAATAGTTAATCTATTTATCTTATCATTATTACAAAGACAAATACTGATTACCTACTATTCCTATATCGAAAAAGTGCAATTCATTTAATAAATATTACAGTTTTACGTAATATTGTTGTTCGTTCATTTTAAGAATAAGAAAGGAATTGTTAGATGTTGATAGTAAGAGCATTTGAGATCTATTGAATGAAATATCAGGGTTGATTCAGCAATGTCGGAGCACTACACATTTTCAATGAAATATTCAGTATTTGATAATTTGTAACTGTAACGGTGGACATTATGCTAGAAGGCGATCAGACATTTGTATTTTGACAGTCTCGTCCAGTACCATACTTCCTAAGGTCTGAAATATTAGCGGAGGTAGATAAATTTCCAACAACTGGAACTTTCAGACCAATCTCAAGAGCTCACCCGCAATCCTTATAAAATGATGTCATATGGAATTAAATCGGCTCCAGCCGTATTCCAAGCACCTATTACCAATTTTCTCATTGAGTATTCTGTACCTGTAAAAGAGCAGAAATCCTCCGCAATAAATCAGACTATTATTTGCTACAATGTACTATTTATTATCATTGTGTTGTACACGGATGAATTTATAATTAGTGAATGTCTGCCATTTTTAGTCTAAGTTATGGGTAAAATTTGAGGTTTGGAAGTTACAAAACAAATCTTTCTTTTTGTTTCAGGTGAGAAGGATACCAAGTAAGGTAAATACAATTTATTAAAGAACTGTGATTAGGTGTAGGTACTGGGTCATTCTTTAAAAGTGACGATCGTTGGAATTTCCACCAAAACCAAGTTTGAAGTTATGGCTAACTGAATTTATTTAATTTCGACGGTGTATCATCATGGATTGACTAAATTGTTTATTTATTTACAATGCACTTTGCTTCTATTTTACAATAGATCATAAATTGATAAATAATAAGCAGGTATTTCAGTGTAGGTAACGAAAATGGAAAAATTAATAAACGGTGAATGGTACACAATAGTAAAGACGGCACTGGTTTCTTAAATGACAGTCGTGGCAAAAAAAAATTACTAACAAAATTCATACCACCAATGTCACAAGGTTCTAGAATCTTATACGCGCGAAATCCCCACACCATCACTTTCAAAATCACCCGGTAGATCCCATATAGGTAAGCTCAAATACGTTGATATTTTTAGAGAATTAATTCTACGGAAGGTTAGAAAACGCGATTTATTCAAGCGCGTCAGATATAAAAAAATATCTAGAGCGTTGTACGTATAGTTTATGACACGACCGCCTGTGATGATCTCTGTCAACTAACATGCTTCAACTGCTGACCACACTGAACTTTATTGACGATTTGTTCCACTTTGGCCTGTGGAAATCGTCAAATTATATACTTCTGTTATTCTTGAATAATTTCCTTCGAAATAACTAAAAATCCACGCTCGAGAATGTCAAGGTAACGTTTTCTTTTTTCATATTTGTGGCTTTTCCAGTCCCTCACGTCACACTCAAATCGTCACATTATTGAAATGCACACTTTTAAACACTTAGTCGACCCACCTTACTTTAATCTGACGCGCTCGAGTAAATCCCCTACTATAAATGACACGTTATTTTGATAACTGGACTATGAGCACGTACCGCGTGGCACATAGATCTATCTATCAATGAGCACTTTTTACTAAAAACTATTACGCAACGTTTTGTATTTTTCATTTTTGAATCAATTGCAACGAACGAACAGTTTGAATTGCACTGACGGGGTGTAGGAAAATTGCAATTGCTATTGCATAATAACAACTTTTTCGTCATCCCATACTGTTATTTCAATTTAACTCAACTCATTTGACAAATGAAATATCATTCATAACGGACGGCGTCCGTTAAAAAATAACGGACGCATATGCGGCCGTTAAGAAATAATGCTTTTATTGAAATACAAACAACTACTTATTATAATGAATATGAAAATTAAAGTGACAGTTATTATTGCTAGAAATCTGTAGTCCATCGTAGGAAACTTGAGGACCACTATCACCTGTTGATGTTACACTTGATGAAGAAGCTGTGGCTATGGATGTTGTAATTTCAGAGTTTCCATTGGACCTTTGAAATAGTTGTTTTGTGATTTTTAATCGCTTCGAAACAGAATTTTCAATATACGACTCCGCTACCGCAGATGAATCCCAGCCTCCAAGTTCCTTCACTGCTAGGAGATCGCCACCATTTTCTGCAAGCATGGTAGCGGATGACCTCCGAAACGAATGGCCCGTGTATAACTCTGGGTTTTTTAATTTTAAGAACTTAGCAATTTTCCTGGGAACCCCCCCAATGGTATGAATGCCCACAACCTGCCTAACACACTTTTCTTTGCGGTAGACAATGAAAAATCGCCGAGTTTCTAAATTTTGAGGACGTTTTTCCGCGTATTTTTGGTATAACTGATACGCATTGAAGGGAAGTCCTTCTTTCGGAATTAGAAACACTCTGCTTTTCTTATTTTTTGTGATCCGCAATGTAACTATTACGTTTTTGTTGGTGTCTTCAAAGTCCTCCACGTTCAACTTCAAAAGCTCATCACCCCTACAAGCGCCAAATATTCCACATATTAAGATGACTTTTTCTAGGAGCCATACACCATCATCAGCTTCCAATAAAAATGTCATGACTTGCTCTTCAGACAAAATGTTAGACTTTTTTGGTCTGTAACCTTCAGACTTTCTTTTCAAAAAGGCGAATAATTTTCCGAATCTGTAATGTAATAAACATCCCCAATACACAATAAATACACTACATGAATAAATTACCAACCTTGAAATGTCAATGTTGTCATATACCTTCAAAGTGAGTTTCAACATTGAAACTTTTGTCCATAATGAATTGGGCGAGTACATTTCCGATTTTCCCTTTACGTACGCTAATAACACGTCTTCATTTACTAAATTGATCCTCTTAATCTTAAGCCATTCCTTGAAATCTTCGTATTCTTTTTGATATCGCTCCCTGGTCTTTTCTGGTAGCAAATCGACACTTGCAGCCATGGAGTCTGCTAATACGTCTGGAGGAATATTGATATTTCCTTCAATTACGTCCATATTTTTGGAAAACCGTCGTAGAGCTTCTCAGCACGCGTTTTTAACGAATTGTTTATTTTTCAGTAGTTGCGTCCATGACAACCGCTAACATGTGACCATAAGCATACCATGATCAAGATAATTATTATATTTAAGTATTGCGAAAAGATGGATCTTTATGAAGTCGAAATATATAATTTCCACATAATGGGATGACGAAAAATCTTGAACGACACACGGCCGATACGCAAATAACGGACTTGGTTGAATATAAACCTCGGCTGACGCCTCGGTTTACAAACTTCAACCACGTCCGTTATTTGCTACATATCGGCCTTATGACGTTAATAACTATAACCGTAAGGGTAGATAAAGTGAAACAAATTATTGTGCTTTCTAATGACATCTGTCATTCTCATTTCAAATGCATGATAAAAATGACGTTCAGAACATATGACAATTCTGTTTCTATAGATACGGTCGCGACGGCAGAACCTAAGCTTGCTATTTTTGACACCTCTAAATTAAATTCAGAATTGTCGGAAGCTTTACAATGATTTATCTTGCTTCTGCTACAAAATAAAGGTTTGTATTATACACGACGACAAAGGTAAACTAACCATCTCGTGAAAGTTAATTCACTCGTGGCTGCGCCACTGGTGAATTAACATCTTTCACTCAGTAGTTAAAATATCCCTTTATCATCTTGTATAATAATAGTTATTATAACCGACTTTGTGGTTCTCTGGTTGACCTGGGGCTATAAATCCGGAGGTCGGGTGTTCGAACCTGGATTGAGGTTCATTTTTCATCTGTGGCAGAGATGGGAATTACCTTATACCAGTTTCGAGCATTCTGCCGGCTACTCCGAATTAGGGTTTCCTGCAGTTTTCCTAATTCGTAAGGTAAATACCGGAGTAGTATAGAACAACTTAAGACCTTCTGCAGAGGAACCTCTAAAAAGCATTATGCGGGTCACTCTGTAATTGGGCGCAAGCCTTTTGAGGGCCCAGAACAAGGGATGGATAATAAATTGCAAGTTCTACATTAACTTTGGAACAAATTCCAAAGTAATAAGAATACTGCCTCAATAAAAGATTGTTCTCACAAAGTTCTCAACTAACAATAAAAAGACATAAAAGTACTTTAAGCATTAATATTTACACTGGTCTACACAAAAGTTTCTCATAGTAGTAGTGGTAGTAGCAGTATAACAAGAATAAAACATCCATTTCAATAAAAGATGTTGCATTTAGGACGGGAAGAGAATTTTAACGTCTATTCTTATAAAATTGTAAATTTTTAAATGAAATAGACAAAACCAAAAACCTTTCAATTGTAAATGAAACAAAACGTACAGCTGCAGCGAAACTCGACGTTTTTCAATGTGAGAATGTAAATGTAGAGAAATAAATACTACCAGAATGTAAACATTTCTCAGCGCTCTATCGATTAGAAGTTATCAAGAGGTTTTTAATTAAATTTTCTAGTAACTTAGCGAATCTAGAAAAAGGGTTGAAACTAAAGGAAGTTTTAAACTACATCACTGAGAACTAACTTTGCAAAGTTCGTAAGTAAAGAGAAAACGAACGGTTTGCTTTAATTAACATTGCCTAATTACATAGACATCATTTAAATTGAAGCATGATCAGCTTTATTAATATGGCGGATGAGCATTGCTGATTGATAACAAGTTCATTTGTAAAATTCAATTAAATGCGTGCGAAAGGTGTTGGTATGTGAAACAATGGTTTCCCTTCCTGTGTGAAATTAGCAGCCAGTTTTCAGCAGCCAAATTTCCGAAGACGCTCGAACGTGCAGATGGCGCAGTTTAAGAGAAATATGTAAAAAGTTTGGCAGCCATGGCTGCAATTACTAGGATATATACTATATACTGTTAATTTAGCGACTGTCCGAGGGGGTGGAATCCGTCCCTAACGTACAAAAAATTTGTTTAACCCCCACATAAAAAAGGTCCTTTTCGCTTACAGTGTTGCACCAATGGAAGAGTCGACTCTATCAAGAATTCAGTCTTTGATTCACCCTGTTTCCTCTTCCGACCGCGTTCCCCCCGGGTCTTCATTCACAAAAGCCTGTAGTGTAGATGCTTCGCTAAATGTTCTGGTATCCTTTACGGTTCCAGCTTTTGCATTCTAGTCTTCAGTGGAGTTTCGGTAAGGGCGTTACCTGGTATTTGGTCTTCTTAATTAGTGCTATTGGGTTACTCATGAATATAACGATACTAATTGGTACATTTACAAACGGATTTAGTAATTTAATTACACGTCATATTGTTGCAGTACAGTACGTTTGGAAAGCCGTTGCTACAAGTGCGGGACCCTTAATGAGATTTGAACCAGATTCGATTTTTCACAACCGCTCCGTCCTGTATTTGTGGTTGGAACGTAAAATATAACAACGCGAGTTACGGTAGTTATCGTTAAAAAGGAAAAAAGTTTGAAGTAAATAAATTCTAACGTGTCGGCTTTATACACGTTGCAAAAATACGGATAATCACAAAAATTAAAACGACGGTAATAGACAAGTAACGGCGGGTAAGAATTGTTTACTTCTCGGTTACGTATGGAGTTAAAAAAATTGCTGTGAAGTGAAAATATTTAGTTATCACAAAAAACCGTTGTAACAGCTGCTGTGTAAATGTCTACAATCTGAAGAAGGGATTGCTTGTTCATAATGGTAAATCATCCTAATTGACGCATTAAAAAAATTTAGTTCAAGAAACATTAAAGTGCACATTTTTACGTAGTGAACTTGTGATAAGCTAACCAATTCTTTGGTCAAACTCGTTTACCCCAAACAGCGCCCGATCCGTTACTAATATACTCAGTGACATGGAAATTGCAACACCAAGAAGGAGTTGGAATTTTTTGACCAAACTTGGCAGAAACGTTTAGCTACTAAAAGGTAACAATTGATTAAAATTTAAAAGAAAAAGGATGAAATATAAACATATTTTTATTAATAATAATAGTAGTCCCTCCCTATTGGTTACGCACTCCCTCACGCTTCGTAGCATCGATTTTAGCAGACGGCCGATTTCCTCTTGAGGTATTGTGTCCCAAGCAACTGTGAGTAACCTCTAATTCATTGTGTAGAGCCTGCAGCGTCTGCGGAGGATGCGGTAAGTTCATCAGCCTTCTCTTCATAATGTCCCAAACTTGCTCGATAGGCGATATACTGGGAGATCTGGGTGGCTATGGCAAGAAATTGACATTATCATGTGCAAATAAGTCCATAGAACGTCTTTCAATGTGGGGAGGGGCATTATCCTGCTGGAAAAGTGGGTCTTCCAACTGCTGAAGAGATGGAAGAATATCGGGTTCTATCACGTCATCCACATATCGCTGGGGGGTCATATTACCTCGAATGAATAACAAACGAGCCCTACTCCCATAAGTTATAGTACTCCATACCATAGTCCCCACAGCTTAGTGCACATGCCTCATAACATAAAATTTAACATTGCGACGTTCCCCACGTCTTCGGCTGCCCTTCATACGGCCATCATGCATACCCAAACAAAATCGGAATTCATCACTGAACACCACTCAATGCTACTCTAGGTTCCAGTGCAGTCGCAACCTACACCACTCCAAACGCTGCTGGCGGTGTTGAGCTGTTAATGGTAACAAAAGATGTGGCCGATAGGATTGCAAGTCGTAAGCTCTGATTCTGCGGTAAACCGTTCGAAGTGTTACAGGACGACCTTCGTTAGCTAACAATTGATTGGCAATTGACCTGGTACTAGAGAATCGGTTTCTTGTTGCCATAAGTCAAAGATGGCGATCCCGCACTTCAATTGTTCTTTTTGGCCCCCCACCCTTTTCTGCCCCCTCCCTTACCTCTCTATGATGATCCTGCCCCTTCCCAAATCCCTGCTCGATTGCAACGAATCACGGTGGATTGACTTCGGTTAAGGTGACTTGCAATTTTTGTGAACGAAAAACCACCTCCGCCCAAACCAACAATACGACACCTGTCAACTTCTCTTAATTCGCGGTAATTTCCACTTTGGCGTACCTAGGCATGATCACAGCCTCAAAAGAAACGATTAAAAGCGAAAACAATAAGAACTGAACAAAATCTCCCAAAAGGTACACGATATAAGAATACTAGAAAAAAATGAAAGAGCTGTCAAATAAGCCATTACCACTTGATCCATATGAATGAAATTTTAATCAATTATTACCTTTTAGTAGTTAAACGTTTCTGCCAAGTTTGGTCAAAAAATTCCAACTCCTTCTTGTTGTTGCAATTTCCATGTCACTGAGTATACTTTCTAATTCATTGTCACAGAAAGAGGATTGTATCCAGCACCATTTTGTATCAACATTGTCACCTGTAAGAGGCCTAATGTGAGGTACTCATTTTTTGTTTGAATTTACGTAAAATCATAAGTATGAGTTTTAAAGGAGAAAAACTATCAACTTGAATGAGGTATAAAAAATAAATAAGAAATTTTTTGGTTTGAAAATTCTTAAAGAGCTCAACCTATAGGCAATTAAAGCCGTCTTGCATGTATTACTGTTTACAAACCTCCAAAAATTAGATTTCTTGGTTTTGTCTATAAAATTATTTCCCTTAAAATCAATCGAAGAAAATTTCCGATTTAGTGGGTTTATTACAATGGTATATTTTAGATTAACTGTGGTAATATTTGGTTACTAGATTCGATATTAAGCCCAGATCGAAAAAAGATGCTGCTACAACATTGAATTTGAATTTATAGGGATAATACTGCATAGAAAAACTTATAATGCTTAATGGAAATATTTCCATTAATGTAAATTTCAGGAAACCGGCAAGAGTAGTCAAGTAATAATTTTGGCTAAAAAATTTGCGTAAATAGTTTACCTATACATTCAAAATTTTGATTTTGAAAAGAAAAAGAAGTTTACCCAAAATTGTCCTGAAACCTTTATTTTCATACCTACTTTCTGTCAGGAAATTTGAGTTTCCATGACAGAGGCAGAGCAGACTACGTTTCCTGTCGCTTGTTACGGGCCGCAGCTATCACTTTCCGGTCGCACCGTCACTTTAAGCAGGGCGCCCATTTAATCGGATCGGATCGGCACGGCATCGCTCAGTCCGGAAACGTCCAATACTCGCTCACCAAATCGGTATGCTTCAGTCTATCAGTCGAAATATAATTTTTGTGGGTTCATTTTAGTTCGGTTAGAATTTTATAAACAATACTTAATAATTTATATAATATGAGCTCTTCATCTTCCGACGAAGATGATATTTTTCCTTCTTCTTCCCAAGCATTTTCCTTCCGTGAACTGTCATGATAATATTTACTAACTT